AGAAGGAGAGAGAGAGAGAGGGGGGGGGGGAGCGACAACGCCGCGGTGAATCGCGTATTCTAATTCCACTCGTTGCAATCCACGACAAGGTGGGAGCTTGCTCCGAGCGAGCTTTCGACGACATCCGAGGGCGATCCGCGCCTGCGCCTGCCGAGGCCGCACCGTTTCACAGGCCACCCGGTATTAACTATAGGTACACACCTACCTACGTCCTCGTCGAATCTCATGGCGCCAGTTTGAAGTACGCTCCTTCTGCGAATGCACTCTGTTACGTGGCACGCGCCGCGCCGTCCCGTCCGATTTTCGAATCTCCCGCCACCGCGACCGCCTACCGCGCGCCGGTATTGTATCTCCTCTGTTTTATCGCAGTGACCCCTCCTCTCTCTCTCTCTCTTTCTCTCTCTCACTTTTTCTTTCTCTTTCTCTATCCTCGAAGGAGGAAATCTTTCTCTCTGGAATTGGTGACTGTACCTTCGACACAGTTTTTCCTACTACTGCTGCTCCTCGCCCAGAGTTTTCCCCAGAGATATCGCAAGTGGTGCACAAGTTCGAGCGAACAACACGTTGGATCTTCTCGTTCTGTGTACGCGCAAGTTGTTACGACACGTGAGGCGATTTTTACACGCGGCCGCATATTGGCATAAACGAAAACTTTTTTTTATAACCGCGAGATCGCGAACGATTTCTCGCGCGTGGATCTCTCTCTCTCTCTCCCCGATTTTTACGTCGGTCGAGACGAAAGCGATGGAAGAAGAGACGACGCACGGAGAGAAGAGATTCTCCGTGACGATAGCCGATAGACGAAACACGGGGAAGACGAAACAACGCGAAAATGCGCGTTATCCCGAGACGGGTAGGGCTATTTCAGCGACATCGGCGTCGCTTAATATAGCAAACATTTGTCTAATTAATAGCCATTAGGCCGGCCGGCGTGTCTCATCTCGATAAATTCGTTGGGGCTTACCGAACGAGAAACGCATCAACCGCCTCTAGATTCTCTCGTATGCACGCCGCGTACACGGCTTGTCACACACGTATGTGACACCTGTCCACCACGCTCGGCCAATGTTTTCATGCCTGTTGCTTTCGTATCGCTCGTTTCTAGATACTCTCGCTAGATACGCGAGAAGCGTGCATCTATGCTTACGGTTGAAGGAATTTCGGGCACCGAGGATCGTATGACGATCGTATCGCGGTAATCTATTGCGTTGGGAATGAGATAAACTTGTTATCGCCGTAGGAATTTTTTTTTATCGGTGTCCTTCTCGAGTGTTGCGAAGCGAACGATAATTCGCCATTTTTCTCTTTTCTTTCTTTATTCTCCAACCGACGAATAAACTCGGCTCGACTCGATAATTTTCACGAGATCGAATGGAATTTTCTCGAGGAGAAAACTTTCGCGTCTTATTCGTTAAATACCTCTATTCTCGGCGAATCAAGCTTCGTCCGAGTTTCTGCGATTCGATTCGATTCGATGACCGAGACTAACTCAACCGACCTCTGTCCTTTCCCCTCCTCTTCGCGGCCATGATGATTCACCTGTGACGGAATAGCCGGATTCCAGGTAAATCCATTTCACGAAACGGAGGAGGAAAGGCAAAAGACGGTCGTCGTCTTCGTCGACGCTTTCGATCGTATCGAGCCATTAACCAGCCGTCCGTATTAGTTCCTTCCTTCTCGCTTACGTCAACGAGCTGTGCGTACGCAGCGTGGTCCATACGCGCGTACATCGGTTGCCCGGCTAGTGTCTGACGCGTTATTTATACGCGTTCGAGGCGGAAAATGGGCGGGCCGCGATCGAATTCGTATCGACGCGTTATTAGAAACACCGCGCGTCTTCCGTCCGGGAGGATATAATTGATTAATCGGCCGATCCCCTACCGCGCCAGCTTTTCGCTCCTCTGCCAGAGAGATCTGGAATGGAACGCGAGTCACGCGTTTCGAAGCTGGCCAGCTTCGAGGATTAACGTCGAATGGAGATTCCTATATTCGTTTTCATTTGAACGTGGAGTGAGTCGGATCGGGAGAGGATCGTTCTAAAGGAAAAGTTTTCTCTTCCTCTTTCTCTCGTTATCTCCGATGGACAGGCGGACGATTATCTTCTTCAAGTCACGCGTACATACACGATTTTATTAGCTTTGGAACGACCGTGAAATTCTATATCGGACGAGTCGTTGTTCTCATTACGATTACCCTCTTCCTTTCTTCTTATCGCGACAACACCTGATCGATCGAACACAGAGGATTTAACGTAGTCGTAGGACGATGTCCGATCGATGTTTGACGCGCGCAACCCTCCTTTTTCTCGCCGCACATTCATCCCGGAGGATGATCCACCCTATAAATAACCGCGTGACTTCGTGAACCGTGGCGATTTCCGCAATGAAAATAAATTCGAGCGGGCGCGCGAGCGGTACGCGCTTCTGCCTGCCTGTCCGTTCGCGTCTAGGCGTAATAATTTTTCTGGCGACAGCCGACCGTTCGAGCCGACGATAAAACAAACCATCGACCTCCGTCCAAATTATAAACTCGTCCTGCCATTTTCCCACACACGCACGCACACACGCTCTCTCTCTCTTTCTCGTCTCTCGTCTCTCCACGAGAGAGGAGAGATCGTTCTCCCGTCTATTTCCATTTCATCCCATTCGATTCCAACCGATTCCTTTTTTCTTCTTGCGAGGGGCGGAGAGGAGGAGAAAGAATGGACCGAGCGTTTCTCGAAAGGGGAGGGAGGGAGAGAAACGTTCGACGCTTTCGGTCGTTCGTTCGATTAACTTTTTGCCCGGTGAAAGTAGCGCTTGGTGATTTTCCAGAAATTCCTCGACCGTTTTCCCCGTCTTTCCTCGTTGTCTCGATGACTCACGGCCTCGACGGGGCGAAAGTCCGGCCGAACGCGATCGCAACGAGCGAAAGATAGAGGCGATTCGATCCGATCGAGCCGAGGTGAAGATACGCGCGCCAGAGAAGATTGCTCGAGAAGAAAGATCGGGCAGGATGAAGTTCCAAGGTGGAGAGGCATCGAACGACTGCTCATCCTGAACGACAAATTGCAGAGGCGTCACACGACGCCTACGTTGCTCTCGAGCCCCAAGGGGTCGAGGATGAGTCCGAAGGGGCCGGGCCAGGAGGGGCCCCCCAAGATGGAGGTGAGGGTGTCCTGCGTCCCCTCGCCGGGCGCCGAGCCCCAAGGGATCAGGGTGAGAATTCCAGAGCCCAAGAAACGCCCGGTCAGCCCACCCTTTCACCACGACTCGATGCGAGCCAGGTGCCCCTCGGTCCCCGAGAAGGATTTGTACAGGAAGACGGCGTCGTTGGATCGGCGCGACAGGTATCCGACCCTGTCCGGCGCCGAGATCAAGAGGGGACTGATCCCAGGCGGTGGGTTGGAGATGGCCGCGCCGAGAAACAGGAGGAACCCTATGCTGGATCGGAGGAATCGTTTCCCGACCATATCCGGGGCCGAGCTGAAGCGGGGCCTCGCGATCGGCAAGTGCCCGCTGGAGGACGGGCTCGATCTCAGCCTGGCACCCTGGCCGGGCATGAAGTGGGCCTGCGTCAGGGTGTTGCACCTGTACTGTAAGGTGTTCGACCAGTTCGAGCTGTTCGAGCTGATAGTTAGGTAATTGGAACCAGTTGAAGTTAGTTTTGTGGAAACGAGTTTGCCGCGACTGGATTTCATACACGTACGTACGATTCAAACCTGTTCCTCGATTTAGCCGCACACGTTTCAGAAACACGTATCGAGGTTTCCAACGCTAAATTCAATCTTACTGCCGAACTGCTATCTTTGCCTCTCGACAGAGTGACTTCCCTTCGATTCGTCCCTTTGGTCGCGTCTAACGATGTTAATATTTGCTCCTTCCAGAGACACGTGCCATCACGGTGATTGATAGATCGTTTACGAGCGTAACGCGTTCTTTCAACGGACACGTCTAACAATTCCAAGGCGACGTGTTTACTCGATAAAAGTTCGCGTCCAATTAAAATTCCACGGATCCATTAGCGGCGGGGGCGCAGCGTAAATATAATTAACCGGCATTAGCAGGCGGGCAAAGTTTCTGCCGATGCTCGCCCGTTTCGCCATCTCTTTTCGAAAGGCGAAAATTTTCAACTTTCAACGAATCAACACCTTCGATCGAGAGGCCTTTCGAGGCGATCGAATCGAATTAGCGAATCGTTTAACGCCCCCCTCCCCGACGATGGCAATAATAAATCCGACACGACCACGATCCGTGGGCAATTTTCTTTTCTCGCGACGAGCGCGCATTAATATAAGTCGACCTCGACTCTCTCTCTCTCTCTTTTTCTTCTTCAAATTCCGCTCGAACAAGCGTTACGCGTGTATACCACCCATCGTGGAATGTCGGGACAAATCGCTCGGTTTATATATCGTCCAGGGGATTAATCGCGCGTTATAACGTCTGGTCGGACGCAAATAGTCGGGCGTCGTGGGACCGCGCGAATATATTCGGTTTAATTTTTCTTCGGCCGATTTTTCGAAGTTAGCGAGACGAACTTGTTCGAACGTCTGGTCGTCGTCGTCGTCGATGTCTGGTCGCTTTGTCGACAACGAGATTTAATTGGGAGGGAGGCCCAGCAATTGGTTGATGTCGGAGAGAGAGAGAGAGAGAGAGAGACTGTTATTTTCCATCGTTGCACGCTCGAGAGGCGAAAGCGCTCGAAGATCCAACGAGACAAGTTTCAAGAGTTATCGATACACCAGCGGATGAAAGCCTTTTATCCCCGTGTCGCGATCGGTGTCGGCGGGGACGTTCACGTGGGCAAAGGAAAACGAGCGTGGAAACGGGTCTGGGACCGTGAACTCGAATGAATTATGGCCCACATGCGAGTATTAGGTTTCACGTTGGCCAAGTTAACGAGGCGTCAACGTTAATTTGCAAATTCACCCTCCCGCGTCCACGTCTGATATCGAACCTCTTTATCGTACTCTCCTTCTCTTTCTTGAGAAACTCTCTTTCGCTAACGGCGAGTTATGACCTGTTGGCAACAAAAAAATTATATGAAAAGTACTTCTGCTCTGTCTTTCGGCTTCGAGAGAGGTAAAAAATCGGGGTAAAACTCGCTCGACCGTGGAGGAAAAGAGAGAGATTACTTTTACGAATCGGTCGATATCACTTTTTGCCTTTTTTCCATTCGCGAACTTTGGAAAAGGAATCGCGAGGAAACGGATTGAAGGAATATTTTTCGAGGTTCTGCTTCTGCTCGACGAAAATAAGGTGTCAAATTGCGTCCGCGTCCCGAATGTCTCGAAATCGCGCTTCTATGAAGCCCGATTTTATGGCGGCCCATTAATGCGTCCGCCGCCACTGTTAAATTTAACGAGCTGCTCTCCTCCTCCTCGTTGGTCCTCGCCTATGTTCCAGTTCGCCTCTGTTTCCCTCTTCGTTCGTCCGGTCCTCGTAAATCGGATTTAATAAATTTACGAGCCAATCGTGTCTCTCCTTTCGTCTCTCCTTCCTTCTTCTTTTTTTTTTTTTTTACCTTCCTCTTCACGTTCAAACATCGTGCTAGATAAGAGTTTCGTTATCGTCGTCGAATCGAGGTCGAACAAAGAGAGGAAGAATAGGTAGGCCAGTATTAGCACCGCGACGACCTTGCGGTTGACATATCCGGAAGGGTGCGGTAGAAAGGCGATGAATACCGGGGCAAATGCACATCCCCTTGATTATATACGATCGACGTTCGATCCGACCATTAGCAGTGTGTTACGCGTGGGCGGAATTGCAATCGAGACTTTTCCCCCTTCCATTTTTGAAACTCGAATCGAATCGCGGATGGATAGATTCGAGGCGAACTTTTCCTCCCGAGTCTTCTATCTTTTTTTTTCCTCCCCTCCTTCCTCGTAATGGGATTAAAATTGTTTTGCTTTTTACGCGGTTTAAAAAATCGTGTCACGACGTTGAAAGGCGATTACGGAGTTAAACTAGCCGACGACTTACTCGGAGAAGAAATAAGGAACGGGGACACCGTTTGTAAAGGAGGGGGAAAGAAAAAAGAAAAAAGGAAAAAGAAAAAGGAGAAAGAAGGGCACAGATGTTTGCATTAATTAGACGATCAGGCAGGAAACGCTTTACGTTCGAACGCAATAAAACTGGATTAAACGTTCTATCGGGACATCGAGGCGTATCCGGAGTTAATGAAAGAGCCGAGACAAATATTTAAGCGCGGCATCCTAGGCTTAATAGATACGTTCGAGTTATATCGATGCCCGTTTCGTATATATATATACAATCAAATACAGAGAAACTAAAGGCAATTTCTTTAAACGAGAGAGGAACATTAATTCTCGTACCACGAGAAATTCCACGAGTGTATCATGAATGATGCATGACTTTTCAAAACTAACCTCACTTCTCTCAGGAGATTCTTTCTTCCTTTCCAGAAAGAACTGCACCAGTTGCAAGTGTCCCCGTGAGGCGCACGATGTGTGCCACGAGGAATGGGTGTCGGTCAGGTCTCGTTTGGGCCTGAAAGGCGAGGAATCTTCGTGTCCGGTTACTTTCGACCCCAGGGGGAAGGGCCTCGCCTGGGCTCCTCCTGGTCTACCAGCTCACAAGGTGGGTAATAATCCTTTTCCTGTTCGATATCGTTTTAACCAACCGTTGTTGTATCAACAAACTATCGCGCCATTTGAAATTCGACGAAACTATTCGGTCGATTGCGTCAAAAATATACGATTCAACATCGAGTCGAAGTATCTCTAATAACGAAATATTATTGTGAACGTGTGTGGTGTTATGCATTCGCGTTTGTGTATTCCAATTTGTACACGCGTATTATACGCACGCTTGGCGAACTTCCAGTTTTCGATATTTTCCAAAGTACAAGGCATAAATTAACGAGAACTGGTCTTTATCGACGGATGCTTTATCGTGCACGCTTCCCGTGACCGTTACCCACTCGCATTTATCACATATATTTTTCTTTTGGTCGACGCGCGCATTTAAGAAACGATATATTCCCACTTTTTGGCTAGATGGCGCTTTATATAGACCCTGTTTTCTTTTTCTTGCTGCAGGTGGAGGAATACTTTTCCATGCTACCGGAGAAATCCGTGCCTAGGTTAGGTACGCCCGGAGAACGATACAGGGATCGACAATTGGCATTTCAGCTGCCTAAGCAGGACTTAGCCAGAGCTTATTGTCGCCACTTGAATCCGAAACATGCCAGCAGTGCTGACGATTTTATGGCGGCAAGGAACGAGATCGCGTTGGATATCGGAAGCGTACAGGAAGTGTTTGAGAGAGATGTTGTAAGTTTCATCATAATTATCTACGCTTGAAATTGTTTGCACTTTATATTTTAAACGAACAAATTGCACAGTGCGATTTGATGTGTTTGATGTAGGATTGCGGTGCGTGCCATACGCCATTAAAATACGGCACCCTTGCCGTATCTGCGAGCAAATTGGGTCTTTTATACCATCCTGCATGTTTTCGTTGCACAGAGTGCAAGGAACTTCTCGTCGATCTTGCTTATTGCGTACACGACGACACACTATTCTGTGAAAGACATTATGCCGAGCAGTTGAAACCGAGGTGCGCGGCTTGCGACGAGGTGAGTATGTTTGTTTTCCTCTGATCTTTGATTATATCTTCTGCGATAATTAATGGCAACGTTTAAATCGAGAAAGGAAAGAAAAAGATAAAGCATCGTATATTGTATGTGGCAAGTATGAACAAAGAAAGCAAATAGTGGGAGAAAGATGGAGATAGGATAAAAATATTGAAATCAGCGCCATCTCCAGAGTGCCGCAAATGAAACATATAATGAAAGGATAGTAAATAATTAGAAAAGGATAGAGATATTTTAAGAATTGATTGTTAACGCCATCTCTTAAGAATCTTTAGAAACATGTCTTTAATATACAAAAGATGGCGCACATCTTCAATTCTTACTCTATCTTATCCTACCTTTAAAGAAATATCTTTGATACTCAAGAGATGGCGTCAATAATCAATTCTTATCTCTATTCTCGTTATTTTGAATCGTTTCAATTTGTAATACAAATCTGGAGATAGCACAGATTTTTTAATTTTTATTCTTCGTCATTTATCTTTGTTATTTTTATATTATTTGCTTTTTTACGCTTTGTCTATACTTGTACTTGTCATAATTTCACTACATTTCAGTTACACAAATACAGAATGGAATATTTTCTGTATCATTTATCATCGTTTTGTATAGAAAACGATAATAGTTCAATAATAGTTAAAATTAAGATTTAATTTTATGTTAAAACTCATTGATACATATAATTTTTATTTTATATATCAACAAACTATCGCGCCATTTGAAATTCGACGAAACTATTCGGTCGATTGCGTCAAAAATATACGATTCAACATCGAGTCGAAGTATCTCTAATAACGAAATATTATTGTGAACGTGTGTGGTGTTATGCATTCGCGTTTGTGTATTCCAATTTGTACACGCGTATTATACGCACGCTTGGCGAACTTCCAGTTTTCGATATTTTCCAAAGTACAAGGCATAAATTAACGAGAACTGGTCTTTATCGACGGATGCTTTATCGTGCACGCTTCCCGTGACCGTTACCCACTCGCATTTATCACATATATTTTTCTTTTGGTCGACGCGCGCATTTAAGAAACGATATATTCCCACTTTTTGGCTAGATGGCGCTTTATATAGACCCTGTTTTCTTTTTCTTGCTGCAGGTGGAGGAATACTTTTCCATGCTACCGGAGAAATCCGTGCCTAGGTTAGGTACGCCCGGAGAACGATACAGGGATCGACAATTGGCATTTCAGCTGCCTAAGCAGGACTTAGCCAGAGCTTATTGTCGCCACTTGAATCCGAAACATGCCAGCAGTGCTGACGATTTTATGGCGGCAAGGAACGAGATCGCGTTGGATATCGGAAGCGTACAGGAAGTGTTTGAGAGAGATGTTGTAAGTTTCATCATAATTATCTACGCTTGAAATTGTTTGCACTTTATATTTTAAACGAACAAATTGCACAGTGCGATTTGATGTGTTTGATGTAGGATTGCGGTGCGTGCCATACGCCATTAAAATACGGCACCCTTGCCGTATCTGCGAGCAAATTGGGTCTTTTATACCATCCTGCATGTTTTCGTTGCACAGAGTGCAAGGAACTTCTCGTCGATCTTGCTTATTGCGTACACGACGACACACTATTCTGTGAAAGACATTATGCCGAGCAGTTGAAACCGAGGTGCGCGGCTTGCGACGAGGTGAGTATGTTTGTTTTCCTCTGATCTTTGATTATATCTTCTGCGATAATTAATGGCAACGTTTAAATCGAGAAAGGAAAGAAAAAGATAAAGCATCGTATATTGTATGTGGCAAGTATGAACAAGGAGAGCGAATAGTTGAAGAAGGACAGAGATAGGATAAAAATATTGAAATCAGCGCCATCTCCAGAGTGCCGCAAATGAAACTCGATACAGAAGGATAGTAAATAATTAGAGAAGGATAGAAAGAGATTAAGAATTGACCACCAATGCCATCTCTGGGATGTTTTTAAAGATTATTTCGAATATTTCGTTTAGCGCTCAACAGATGGCAGTGATATCTATTTCCTATTCTACCTTACCTTATTCTACTTTACCTTATATCTTCCTTATAAAGTAATATCTCTGAAATTTAAGAGATGGCGCTAAAGGTCAATTCTCTATTTCTATCCTTCTCTTATTATTTTCTGTCCTTCTGTATTGAGTTTCATTTGCGGCACTCTGAAGATGGCGCTGATTTCAATATTTTTATCCTATCTCTATCCTTCTTCCACTATGTTCTCTCCTTGTCTGTCTTGCTCTTGGCGCGTAAATACAGGCCAGACATACGAGACATCAATTAAACGCACTTTCATCGTTTCTCTTTCAAAAATTTAACAGTACCATAAATCTTTGATATATAAAAATATATAGATAACATAAATTCTTCTAAAATATATCTTTAATATAACGATCCCAAAACGTATAATACGTATAATACGCACACGATACGAGTTTTGACGCGAAGTATTTTATTCCGGACTCGAATAACAATTATTCGTAGTTTTTAATATTGACATTTAGTTTCGATCCCGCTCACGTTATTAACATTGCAAATTTATTCCAAAATGAATCAATAACGATGTTAAAACGATAATTCCATAGCGTGTCCCCGAAGAATGGGACAAAGAAGAAAAAAAAAAAAGGAAGAAAAAAGAAAAATGTCAACTCTATCCTAGAAAATGAAAAAATAATTTACAATTCTTATTAGTTTTCGTACCACACCGACAGTGGTATAGTACAACCGTTAACCGTTTTAAATAAGTATGGCGTACAACCAAAGGCGGCAATTCGTTTTCCCATTTATGGTTATGATACGGCAATGAAAGAGCTGGTTACTGCTGTTTCGCAGCAAGTAGGCACTTCTCGTCATTCGGTCGGGCATTTTTATCGCATCGACGGCATTGCTTTCGTATTAAGAAAACCTGAAATCTCACCGGTGACCCAAATGCACAGTCAGCTGTCAAGGTGCGCATAAATCGCGCATGCTTCGTGCCAAGCTTGAGCCTCGGCTCTAAACGTACGACGCGACCACCGTTGTTTTTTTTTTTTTCCTTTTTTTCTTTTTTTTCCGAGCTTTACCATCATGGACATGGACAGTGGCACAAATAAATACACATCCTCTTCGAAATAAAACGCGACTCACCACGATTTTACGCAATTTCGTCGATTCGTTCGAAATTCGCGATTTTTTCGCGTAAGCGCGAAATCTTATTAATCGTAAACAAGCCGAAAATATCTGGGGCATAATGGGATTAATCGTCGCCCAATCGCGTTGTCTCGCGTTGCATCGCGCGGGAACTGGGCCGCTTTCGGCTTTATTTAGACACGGACGGAAATAGGAATCGTGTAGGATAGAAGACGAACATCCTACGTCGAGCGCGTATGTCATCGTGGCCAACGCGCAATGGAAATCGTGCCTCGGAAACAGCGAATTGGCCAAGACCTTTTTTATCCCTCCATGACTAATAACTTTACAATTTCACAATATCCTCGACGAATCGATCCATCCTTTCTTATCCCCTTTAACCTTCCTACTATGCAGCAACCATACTCCCTCTGCATACGATGCCTCGTACGATTGCAGTGTCTTTCTTTCGAAAACGATTCTTAGCATCGACATTCGTTTTTTATCGTCAATTTTTTTCCCCAACAACGAAGCAACTCGAATTGTGAGGCGTAAACGCCGCCGTTGACCATCTTTCTCGAGCCATCGATCTTCCTCGATTCTAAATTCTTCCATCTCCTCCATCGAGAAGAGAATCGGTTTCGGGGCGTTAAATTAACGAGCCGGCACAATTTATTATCGAGGCGCGCTCCATCCTCGTAACACTGTCTGAATTGGTTTTCTTCCAACCGGAAACCCGGCGTTTAATCGTACCCGCGGCCCGGTCGGTAATCTATTTTGATTTCTTGTCGAAGCTCCCACCACGAACCTCCCCGCCTGTCCAGACACCCGAGAACCCGTCCCCGTCTTTTATTAGAGTCAGTCAATTGGAGGCTAACGAAAGGGCTAACCGAGCCGCGAGCAAACAAAACCCGTTTCGAAATATACCATCAAGTGTCGCGCGAGTTCTCCATTTTTTTTCACCATCGTTTCTTTTCCAATCTTTTTCTCGGCGAAAATAAAGGTGGTCTCGAAGTTTGGGTAAGTGAAGCGAGAGACCCTCCCCCAAAAACACTCTCTCTCTCTCTCTCTCTCTCTCTCTCTTTCCAGCCATCTTGCAACGAAAGAAGGAGAGAGAGGAAGAGGATAGAGATCCTAGCCCGTAACAAATACTAATTCGGTTCGGAATTTGGAGAAGGGATCGATGATAATTGATGACACGGGAAAGAAGCGTTGGGTGAGCGTAGGCAGAGGCACGCTCCATCACGTTCTGACCCTCGTGCGGGGGAAACAAACGGTCTTTATAAGACGAAGCGGTGGTGGCGTAACGGTGACGCAACGGCGGCGGGCCGATCGTAAAACGCCACAACAAAACGCGTTTGTCTATTTCGAGAGCGTGTTGCGGTTCACCGCGTGTCTTCTGCTGCGCAAAAGTCGCTTGACCTCCGCGACCTCCTCTTCGCCGCTTCTTCCACTTCGAGAACCCGATTGGACAATTTTCTATTTTACACGCTCCCTCGAGATATCGTGTTACTCGAACGATGATGATAAATGAAAAGAATCGAAACAAGTTGGTTGTCGTTTTTTCCACGTCAGCCGGGAGCGATAAACGTGTGTAAAAATGTACATTCCTCGATCAGAATTTTTATCGCGAAAAGAAAATAAAGAGAAAGGGAGGAGTTTTCGAGGAGAATACGTTTTCCTCGAAGCGTTTACGAATTCCTTTATTGGGACAATCTCGAATAAAATTATTAGAATGCAAGCGCCAGGTAACCGTTCGAATTAGCCGCCGGTGACACGAGACTAATTTCGAAAATAGCGCGCAACGCTGTTGCAACGCGACAGGATGAATGGCGCGGATTCGGGTCACCGCGTTCACTCGTCGAAAATACTCGAAGAAGAAGAAGAAGA